GGTTAGGGGGTTAGGGTTAACCCAGGGTTACACAAGTCTCCACCAGGTGTAACCATAGCAACAGTCAGTGTGGGTGGAGCCTGGGAGTAGCATTAACATCCCCTGCTTACCTGTGACCCCTCCCTCTGACACATAAACATATGACAGGAAGTGAACAATGTCAGACTGTTTATGTTTGAGGTGGCAGGTTGTGGTGACATCACAGATGAAAGGTCACAGCATGTTATGAACATCATCCAATCAGAGCCAAGAAGAGACACCTGACAATAAAACTACAGAGGTGTGATAAAGTGACTCCGCCCTAAAACTGCAGGTAATAAGAATAAGAATCAAATTCACTCACAGGAGTCTGAGTGTTTCTTTTTCTATACAAATATATTGATCATTGTGGCACACGAGTCTTTACACAGCTGAAAACGTTACTAAGCTAAACTGCTCAGTCACTCAGTGTGTGTGTGTGTGTGTGTGTGTGTTGTTAGTGTGTGTTTGTGTGTTTGAGTGTGAGTGCAGGGTTTAGAGTGATAGCTTCAGAACTCCACTAACACCTGCCGTCAGACTGAATCCAGATGTTTCAGTTTAGTTTTTCTGTCCAAACAGCTGGAAACAGTTTGTATTCATTTGTGTCGTTGTCAGTTTTCATCAGTTCACAGTCGTGTCTGTGGATATAAGACGTGTGAACTTGTGACCTCACCTGGGTTTGGGTAAACAGGTGTGCTCTCAAACAGGACTGTAGTAGCGCCATTGCACAGAGGGCCATAGATGACATAACTGTGACCGGTGATCCAGCCGATATCCGCCACGCAGCCAAACACGTCTCCGTCCCGGTGATCAAACACGTACTGAAATAAACGACGTTCAAGTTTGTCTTTTCCACTGATGTTTAATAAACTCTGACATTTTAATGTTTCATTCTTTTCATTTGAAGCACAGTTCAAGTTCCTGCTCTAATCGTCTGCTTTGATTTCACTTCTGTGTCGTGCTCATTCGTTTTATTTTGAAGGAACCGGGAAGTTCACTGATCTACATGTTCACACTGCTCCTGGTTTCACTTCTCTCCTTCTGACGCTTTTTGTTTGTGGATGTTTTCACTCGTTCTCGCTCGTTGGAGTTTTCTTGTTGTTGTTTCTCTCTTTTTCTTCCTGATCAAGAAGAACGAGGGAGAGAATCTCTCTCTCGCTGTGTGAGTGGGTGTCTCTCGCCCTGGACTCAACTCTGCCTGTCTGTTTCAGATAAAGCAGCTTTTGTACTATCACACACACACACACACACACACACACACACACACACACACACACACACACACACACACGCTCATTTGAACCTGACCACTGCTCTTCTTCCTCTTCATCTTCTTCACCCTCCTCTTCATCGTCTCTCTGAGGACACACAGTCTTTGTCCTGTTGTGTAACTGCTCTCTTTTGCTTTCACTCCCTCGTTAAAACATTGAGTCTGAAGAACTTTGAAACCATTGAATAAAAAAAATTCACAAACATTTTACATAAAGAAAAACATGTCTGTGACCAAACTGAGAACAG